ATACTAACCTTTTTACAAGCTTATCATCAAACCCTTTTCTTTAAAAGGCTGAACATCCCTATAAAGCTATTACCTACACATTAGATCCCTATCATTTACTAGTAATAATGATTTATACTATATTATCCTCCTTCCTTTACTCTACTACCTTTTCAAGAAGTGAATAAGCCTTCTACTCCTTAAAAGCAAGAGCTCAAGTCCAGCTCAGCCCACAAACATAAAAGTGATAACTACACACACATTTCCATATCGTTTTCTCTAGCAACATTATAAACCAAATAGCTTGCTCGGTGTTTTTTTTTTAAAGAAAAATCCTTAGACTAATCTAACAGTCTAGGAATTGCATGGTGGTCCCCCATCATTAATCAGGCCCAAAACTGCTTTGCTTTTTTTTTTTAAATCAGCCAAGGCTTGGTAGGTGCTGCCATCTGCTGTAACATATACTTACCTTCCCTCCAAAAAGTCCCCAACCTACCGACCTGTAAGGCCTAGTCAGCCCGCTATTCGAATTCCCTGCCACCTCAGGCCCTCCCTCCCTCGAAAGCCTCCTCCCTCAAGGCCTGTTTCGAGGTCTTCCCAACACACGAGGGGCAAACCTCGCTTGCCTCTTACCTCAGAACCCGTAAAGGTCACCCCACATATATATACATACATACTGCACACAGAGAGCCCGCGGCACCGTCTAGCCCCCCCGCGTCCCCCGACCCTCTGGCTTTTGCCTGCGCCAATCGTTTGAGCTCCCTCACCCGACGCAGCAGTAGCCGCGGCGCAGGCGGAGGGAAAGGGGATGGGAGGAGGTAGCCAGGAACCTCCGCCCGTCCCCTCCAATTCGCTCTCGCCCGTTGGCTTATGGGAAGTGGAGTTCGTAAACGGCTGGTAGGTCCTCTCTACCCACAGAGGACGAGAGTTAAAACTACTCGTCCCAAGATGCCCCGCAAGCAGCAGGAAGGTCAGCCGCCATTTCCTAAACCGCTCTGGGGAAGGGAGACTCGGGACCGAATTTTCTCGGTTTCTCCTCTCACTTCCCTTCCAGTCTTTCTCTCTGTCACTATCATCACGCAAACTGAGACGGAATACACTTCAGGAAATACAGCTTCAATCCTGTGGACTGGAAAAGGGAATGTAAATATCCGTTCCTCCCGTTAGCCACCGCGCTATTCTAAATTAGAGCTGAAGGGGAGAGTAAATCTCGCGAGAATTTTAGGACGGAGGACATGTGCATCGTGTCTACGTTCCTGAAACGCTATTCCTGTGAGCATGGGGTTTCAAAGAATGTTGGGAATTGTAGTTAATATGTGACTTTCCTGTCAAAGCTGTCGCCCCAGTATCTTATATAGGCGAACTACACGTTCCAGTTGGAATTGCGAGTTCCCTCAGTAAATAAAAAGGAAGTCAATTGTTTTCCTATAGAGATTTCCCCGTAAAGTCCAGTGGAAAACTTTTTAAAACTCTTCTGTCATGCACGGGTCTTCCATGTTGTTGGAATTAAAAGCACCCATCAAGTCTCCCTGATCTGATCACCTTTTAATCTTTTGTCAAAACACGTGTGTCCCACTCACGTGTATTGAAAAGTTTTGGAAAAAAAATGAGGGATTGTAGGAAGTTAGCACCCACCCCTTTCCTAGAAAAATGAAATATCCTAGGAAATATTGCAGATTTAGGTGACCCCAAATTCTTAACAAATTTTCAGGACAACGAGGTACAGTCAACAAACAAGAATTTTATTATACTTTTGCAAAAGCAGGCAATTCCAAATCCCTCTCAGATGAGTTGGAGTCAGAAGAGCAAAGAACTTCCTTTGAACAATACAATTTATAGTTTATTTCCTTTTGAAGCATATTTGTGGTTTAGGTATTCTATCGAGAAGGGAAACCTTAACCTAACTGAACAGTAAGCAGCTGGGCAGGAAATATTTGTGGTTACATGTTGGTTTTCAACTAAAACAAACATTTAAACAACCATTAGCAAAGAAGGAACCCTCCAGGTCACCCAGTCCAACCCCTCCTTTTAATATGTTGGAAGTTACGATTCCCCTCAGTCGCGGGAATGAGACTCAGGACACCAGCATGATTTCCAATTGTTTTTACTTCTGTCTAGGACTGAGCACCCGAAGAAACCGCGGCAGCCTTTTTATACTCAGGCTGCTTGCAGCTGTGGCCAGTGACGGCTCTTCGAATTTCCCACCACCACGGACTGACCAATTATAGGTAAGTATGCTAATACATAACACCCCTCCCCACCTGGTCCGGTTCAACCAATTCGAGCCTCGCCTACCGTACGTAATCACGTAGGTAGGCGGGGCTTTTATGGGTTCTACTGGACCTGTGCAACTCAGTCTCTGTCTCCTGAACTGTTCGGATGGATCTATTGTTCCGCCCGTCCGTCTTCTTGGAACGTCCTGGAAGGTTGAGTCGGCCATGCCGCTCCCGCCAGGAATTTCCTGGCTGGTTGAGTCGGCTCGGCCACTCCCGCCAGGGACTGCTTCCCCACTATCCTTCTGGACCTTTTCCTGTCTTCCCGACCTGTCTTCTTCCCTGGTCTCAGGTATGTGTTTGCGTTTCCCGACCGGGGCTAGTGTTAGTAGTGGTTGTTGCATAATTGTCAGGGTTCTGTTATTTCTGTTGCTCGTGGAGGGTCTCCCCCTCCCTTCGTACTTGTGCTTTGTCTGTTTGAGGGGTCTCCCCCCTCTTCTCTGGTTGTGTTTTGTTTGTTTGAGGGGTCTCCCCCCTCCCCTATGGTTATTTTTGAGAGGTCTCCCCCTCCTTTCTTGTATTTGTTTTGTTTGTTTGAGGGGTCTCCCCCCTCTTCCATGGTTCTGCTTGGGTCACCCTTCGTGGCTCTAGATCTGAGCTGGTCAATGTGCCTCCTCCAGCTTCTCCCGTCCGCGGTGTCTACCCTGTACGAACGGGGCCCAATTATCTGGGTTACTTTTGCTGGTATCCACAGTGGTTCTCCTGTGAGATTTTTTGCATAAACTGGGTCCCCTGTTTGAAATATGCGGCAATTACTGGAGGAGTCTGCTGGTTTTTCTGGGCTATATGTGGGGTGTAGTCTGTCTAGGTGTGATCTTAGTTTCCTCCCCATTAGTAACTCTGCTGGGCTTTTATTTGTTGTGGCACTGGGTGTCGTGTGTTCAATGGTTAGTAGCTTATCTATCTTTTCTTGTGTGTCCCCAGGCCCCAGTTTTTGTAATGTTTCCTTCGTGTAACATACCATGTGTTCCGCCCGTCAGTTCGTAACTGGGTGTCCCGGCGCTGTCAGTGCATGCCTTATCCCCTGTTGTGCTAGAAATCCCTAAAATGTTGTTGCTGTGAATTGTGGCCCATTGTCGGATACAATTAAATCCGGCAATCCATGTGTGGCAAAAAGTTTCCTGAGCTGTCTAATGATGGCTTCTGTTGTGGTGGAGTGCATGATGCTTACCTCTAGCCATTTGGAGTAAGCATCTACAACTATTAGAAATGTGTGTCCTTTGGTTGGGCCTGCAAAATCAATGTGTAATCTTGACCATGGTCCCCTTGGTGTTTCCCATTCGTGTTTTGGTGCTGTGGGGGGTGTTGGCCTCGATTCCTGGCAGCTTTTATACGTTGCCACCCAATCCTCAATTTCCTTATTCATCCCTGGCCACCATACATAACTCCTTGCCAGGGCTTTCATTTTTACAATACCCGGGTGTCCCTCATGTAAGATAAGAAGATAAGAGATAAGAACTTATTGTCATTGTACAAGTACAACAAAACTGTGGATGCACCCCAGCAACTGTTCGCAATACAATAAAACCAGAGCACTTAAAGATGAAGATAAGAAAAATAGAGTACCCGTGTCTCCATTTGCAATTAGAGAGTGCAATATCTACGAATATACACAAAATATACATCCAACACTGTGTCATGCCCCTGGTGGAGTCTGACTCTGAGGAAGAGAAGGAACAGCCAACAGGGAGTGGGAGTGTGGCTCCAGAGGTGGTGGAGGAGGCTGGGGAAGGGCAGAGGCCAGCTGAGCAGTCAGAGGAGGATCCAGGCCCATCCCCTATCCATCCTAGGTCATGCAGGGAGGAGAGGATCAGGGAAAAGCGAGGTCTACTCAAGAGGAGATTACCATGATCCTCCTCGTGGCTTGCAGGTGGGAGCTATGCATATAAGTTTGCAACTGCACAGTTAGAATTACTGAAGTCAATTAGTGTTCACCTTGAAAGAGGCTTATCTTTGCTGGCGTTCTTCCTATGGACTTTTCTCAGTTATTTTCCTGGAGTTTATAATTAGTTATCTCGGCTTGCTTCAGAACTCTCATCAATGCGGTTTGTTTTGGTTTTCTGTTTGCCTCATTGTTTACTTTTGTGACTTTAAACTGTGCCTAATAAAACAGTGAAGTTAAGTTGAAGGCTTTACCGGACTTTAATGTATGTTTTGGGTTTTAGGTTATTTTGAGAGACTACGGGTCATCACATTTTGACTCCAGCCACCCCTTCAACTTATTTTTGCTTTTTGTGGGGTGACCATGGATCAGCTCAGAGCAGAGACTGCCCAGTTAAGCCAGCAAGTGGCTCTTTTGACTGTACAGGTGGCACAAATGCAAGCTGCCCAGACATGCCGAAAATGCCCAGTGACAGTGCCAGATAAATTTGATGGTTCGCTAGCCCAATTTCCAGCATTTTTTGGGCAGTGCCAGCTTTACATGAGCCTTCGGCCTGAGGACTTTCCCACTGACCGGGATAAAGTGGGGTTTTTTATTTGTTTGTTGTCAGGCTCTGCAGCACGTTGGGCGACGCCTCTGCTGACCCAGCCCAATTAGGTGTTGGACAATTACGCCGAGTTTTGCCATCAGTTTCAGGCCATGTTTGAGGACCC